TAATTTTTTTATAATTTGCACAATTACAGTTTGTTCAGCAATCATTTCTGGTTTTCCTTAAAAACAATGGAATCGTTAATCTTAACTTATGCATAATTAGAATACAAACAGATTTCTTTAAAAAATTCATTTCATCAATATTAAAAATATTTTCTACATACATATCTAAAAACATTAATTTATTATTGTATCCTTATGTATCCTTTTGTATTAGATCCAAAAAAATTTTTTTCAAATAAAATTCAAAAAATTCTTTCGCGCAATTATAGAAAGATTTGACTAAATACTAAAAATAATATTGCGTGGTTATGCCTTTTTCGGCATTTTGCCGCCAACATATTATGTATGTAAAACTATAATATGGTAAATTAAAATTATTTCTCTTTTTTTATTTAAAGCCGACAACTTGTTTAATTTTATTTTTTATTACATAAATATCCATAATTATTTATAAAATTCCAAAAATCTTTGTGGCAATTAAAGTTCCGATTACAAAAAATATTTTTGTCGGCAATTTTAAAAAAACTTTTTTCGAGAGAATATATGTATATTTGTTGACATTAATTTTAATATTATTTAAATACTTTTTATTTTTTACAACCTTTTTTTCTTTTTAATTTCTTTGAGTCGTCACACCTGTCATCAGAAAATGCGCGGGTGCATAATTCCGGATGATTTTGGTTTAAAAAAAAGAAAGAAAAGAAATAATGGAAACGCATCTGGCAGTAAAAGGAATTTATGTAATAAATGGATGGATTTAAACGATTAAAAATAAAATTAAAAATAAATATTTAATTATGAATTAATAAAGAATATTTAATATTTTTAATTTATTTTTTAAAAAGCATGGAAGCCTAAAATGCTTTGACACCTTAATTAACAAACTACCTAATAGATCACCGATTTGTAAAAATTATTCGCGAAACTTCATTCTCGATTGAAAAAAATTTTTTAAGTTAATGAGTAAATTTAAATATTATTGAAGAGGATAAAGTAATTCAATCGAGTAGAAAAATTGCAGAAATAAAGAAAAAAAGCTTAGCTAATTTATCGAAATCTTATCCCTAATAAAGCAAAAATTTCATTAAAAATAAATTATTATAAATATCTAAACTGATTCAAAACACCAAAATTTTTTTCATTTTAAATTTAAAAAGAAAAATGAATTTATAAATACCTTTTATGTATAAAGGTATTTTAACGTTTTAACCTTAATACATATTTAATCCAAATTCATATAAAGGTATAAACTATTCACTGAAATAATTGAAAAGAAAATTTTGAAAGTGAGAATTTTTTGGCGGATTACTATTAATTCTTTCACCTTTTTAAAAAGAGGTAGAATAGAAAGGTTATTTATAGATGTTTAAATTTTAAAGTTAACAAAATTTAATTCAATATATGTTTGAGGGTACAGTCATAAACAGCGCCGGCCATAATAACGCAAAGCCATAACTAGCTGGAAATTTTCTGGCACTTATCAATTTTAGTACCAATCTCTGCAGCTCGATGAGAGGAATCGTTTAATATTAAATTTGTTAAGATTAGGAAATCTTTAAGCAAGTTATGGCTTTGTGTTGTTATGGCCGCGCGTTGTTTAGGGCGTGTTTGATATTAGTTTTTTGTAAGGAAAAATTACATCGAGACTTTATTTTTAACAAAAAGGATATTTAACTTAATAAGAATTCCAAATCTTGCTGAATTTATGAAAAATTAAAAATTACTAGCTTTAAGGGAACAAAAATCCTCCCAAGAGTAAATGAAATAAACAAGTAAAGGCTAGTTAGTTATTGAGAAGCTAAAAATGTCTCAGAATTAAGCTAAAATTTGTCTATTAAATCTTTATTTATTTTATCAAAAAGCATTTCCTTTTCTTTAGTAATTTTGAAGAAAATTTTGAATTTATTATTTTAAATTGTTACTAAATCCAAATTTGGAAGTTAATTTTGCTGTTATTATGATTCTAACAAGGGAATTAGAATATCTTTGGTCTTTCTAGAATAACAAAACTCTAAGGAATGAAATTTTAAAAATAAAATTTTATTTTAAAATTGTTAAAATTTTTTTAAAAATTATGGTATATGTATTTATTCCTTCAATTTTCGTCAACAAATACCTATATTGTAATACAACAGTTTAGAAAACTTTAATTAATTTTTATTAAAATTTCCATCCATTGTTTAAATAAATATTCTGTTTTGCCTACAAATCTACTCATCCATCCATATATTCATCAACTCAATATCTTCAACAATTCCATTTTCTTTATATAAAGCCGACAAACAATTTTTATTCATCCGAATAAAAGTAGTCAAGGATGGAAAGATCATTTTAAGTTTATACAATCTTTAGAAATTCTTGACCAAAAAACATATTTGGTATCAAGGCTAGGCTAATTTGCATCTTTTGCATATTTCACATTTTTTCTCTTTGCTTCTAGAACTTGCAGTGCCCTGTTAGGTAAATAGGCTCAGTATTGTTACAATCCAACTTAACTTCGAATGTTTCTAGGCACAAATGCAATGTATACTTATAAAAAAGAAAGGTCTAAAAGTTTAAAATCAGAGTAAAATTAAAAATTTAGAATGTAGAAGAAAAAAGATAGATCGAATTTTAATAATTGAAAATGCAATCCATTTATTTTATTTTAATCTTAAACTTAATATTTAGGTGAAATCATAAAATAATCTTTATTATTTTTTATTAATCATTTACAACAAATATTCATAATTAAATAATATCCAAAAAAACTCAATTTAATGCTCTAATAAACATTGAATAATAATATACCTTCCCTTTATTCTTTGCGCATCTTTTTTTTATTAATATTAAATGTACTTACGCAATATCCCGCAAATATTGAGAATTTTTGTGGGGATTGTGTGGCCTATCCGTGCCCGCTCAACTCATCGAATCCTTAACTCATCGAATCGACCAAAAACGCTCAACTCATCGAATCGGCTAAAATTCCTTAACTCATCGAATCGGCCAAAAACACTCAACTCATCGAATCCTTAACTCATCGAATCCTCAACTCATCGAATCGGCCAAAAACGCTCAACTCATCGAATTTTTCCAAAAGGGGACGTTTGAGTCCCCTGTTTTTATTTTTCTCCCGAAAGGGCTAACTGAATCTTCGTTGAAAAAATTTTTTGCTGCTATGGAGGCTAGGAAAAAGGGCTTTTGGGCATAATCGGGGTCTACTGGACTAATTTGGTCCGGTTTTACCCGGTAAAATCTCCAGCATAATTTATTAGGAATGAGATAATGTTTTCAGGAATGAGATAATGTTCTGATAATGTTTTCACTGGCCGGATAAACTTGGATGAGTGCCCGATCAACTAATTAACAAAATTAGTTGAAACCCCAGAAGAAAACAAAAAAAAATAAACAAAACAATAAAAAATCTAAAAAATAAACACGGGGACTCAAACGTCCCCTTTTGGAAAAATTCGATGAGTTGATCGTTTTTGGCCGATTCGATGAGTTGAGGATTCGATGAGTTAAGGATTCGATGAGTTGAGTGTTTTTGGCCGATTCGATGAGTTGAGGATTCGATGAGTTAAGGATTCGATGAGTTGTAGGGTAGCCGGCCTATCCAATTAAATAAAAAATATTTTTTTCTTATATTTCCCGCATTGAAGGCAATTTAAGGGAGCGGTAAGAATAAAGAAGAAAGGTCGAGAAGCGGAAAAAGTGAATAAAACCTTTTTAAATCAAGAGGGGATAAAAACAGGAAGAAAGCGAAAATGAACGGTTCTACTCTTTAAAAGATCCTTAAAACGAAATGACCAAAAAAAGGAAGTATGTATTGAGGAGAGGGACCAAGAAAAAAAAATAATTAAAAATATTTTTTGTAAATTATTAAGAGTTCATTTAATCATGTTGGTGAACGATCTCAACTTATCAATAGGTCAAACATTTTTTTCACTATTTAGACATTTGTAACAAAAGGCAAACTATTAGAGATCGGACCAAACAAGTATTTGGTCAAATAAAATCAAATATTTGATCAAATTTTATTTTATTTCATTTGATCAAATACAGGGTGCGGCAAATTGGCCGCCCCTTTTGTTTTCGGCATAACTTTCTTCAATTTCAATGAAAATTGATAATTCTTTTTTTATTTGATTCCCAACACTTTAGGAAAATTTTTGAAATCAAGCTAATTAAAACGTCATTCGAATCAGAAAAAAGAGCTTATTTGATTTATATAAACTTCTCCAATATCAGACATACGTCTTTTAATTCAGACGGCTTTTGGTCAAAAAAATTTTGTCTGAACTTTAGGGAAAATACTCAAATTAATTTATAAAATTTAGAGAATATTTTTGTGCCAAAAATTTTCCTAGAGTGTTGGGAATCAAATAAAAAAAGAATTATCACTTTTCATTGAAATTGTAGAAAATTATGCCAAAAACAAAAGGGGCGGAAAAGTTGCCGCACCCGGTATTTGTTTGATGAGTTTTGGTAGAAATCAAATCTCTTCAAATATCAAATAATTTTCAAATTATTTGATCAAATTTTTAATTTTGCCGTTTGTCCTATATCTACAGGTCAGACTTGTAAAAACTCTTCTCCACTTCTACAAAATTAAAATATTTTCATTTTAGAATTTATTAGGTTTCTATAATAAAAATCTATGTTTTCAAACCTATAAATAGTTCATGATTAAAAAATATAATTTTAAAACAAATAAATATTTTTTGAAAAAGTGAAAAGCTAAGATTTACTTTCTGGTTCTAACTCAACCGAGATTTAACAATTAAATATTTAGTGAAAACATTTATTTTAAGTTTATGAGAAAGTAGAAAAATGCAGAGGAAAAAATTAAATTTAAAAAATACAAAATTGAAAATGAATTCGGAAAATTAAAAATATAAGTGGATAGAATGCAAACTAGAAAACTTTGTGAGATGGACGAAAATAAAATTAATAATACAATGCATGTAATAAAATTATTTCCGAATCCATTTCAATTATAATTTAAATGAAATTCAAATCATAAATCAAAATTCCATATTCTTTTCTTGATGTCAAACTGAAAAATAAAAATTTTAGCTAAAAATTCTTTTAGAATCTAAGTAGAGGTTCTAAAGGCCTAATATTTTCGTTCAAAAAATATTTAAAAAGAGTCCTAGAAATGTGGGCTCTGGAGGATTAGGCTCCAAATTCTTAAAATTTTGAACTCCCGCAGGAATTTTGGACACAAAGTGAAAAAACAGAATATTGGGCTTTAGACATTTGAGCACCAGAGTTTACGGAAAACGGGGGAGATCTTATTGATAGATTAAAGTTAGAAATACAGATGTCCCTGCTAAAGAATTTTTTTCTAAAAACGCCCAAACTCTAGAGCTCAATATGCCGGTTTTTCGCTGAGTCCTAGATGAAAAGTTGAAGCTTATGAAAATCGAGTCCAAGTCCACAAAAACTAAATTTCCGGACATCAATGTTTACCAGAAATGATTCACAAAAATCAAACCTTAAAGAATAGTCATTCCTCTGCTTTATTGAACATCAACGCGAACGAGAGCGCGATCGTGAGTAGGAACGTTCGTGACCACGACGATGATACGGCGAGCGAGACCTGAATGATTAAAATAACTTTTAATTTCAATTAATATTTCTTTAGTAATTTAATAACATTTAGAAGCGAGGATGTGATGAAGTCATATACCAAAAGATGTTTTGAGGGTGTAATTTGGCAAAAAAAACTTTTTTTTGTTTATTTGACTTTATCCGGCATTTGCAAATGTTGAGCCGAATTTGTCATTTTTTGGATGAAGAATGTAGGGAAGTGATGGGTTGGTTGGAAGAGCATGAAGGGAGGTAGAGATGGAAGGGTCAATCCTCAAATATTTAACAATGACACCAATTAGTTTTTACAAAACAATTTTTAGTAGAAAAATTGGGAAAAGTTGGTATCGAAAAAGTAAAGGGGTAGGAGCCTTGTCATGACGATTACACGAACTGGTCGAAGCTCGAATAGATGTGGAGACCGGATCGGGACCGGCTAATAGGAGCCGGCGTTCCATCAATGTCGTACGAGCCTAATTGTATATTTAACTGTATACAGACAAGCTCGCAAATTTTTTAAGTTAATCGATGTTATATAGGATTTTCTGTCACCATATAGGGTAAAACACAAAATAAGCATTCAACAATCCCTTTTATTAAGTTAATGCAAACCTAGAACGATAACGAGATCTATCCTGGTATCCTCCACCTCCTCCCCCACCACTAGAGTAAATTCGTCCACTATCTCCACGTCCACTGCTACTTGTCGACAATTCCACGCGAGCCTTTACACCACAAATTCTACTAAATTTAGGGAAAATGTAAAATTATTTAAAGAAACAAACGTCCCATCCAAAGCCCGGACAGCATCTTCCGCATCTCGATGATCGTCAAACTCAACAAAAGCAAACCCCGGTGGGCGACGAGCTACCCAAATTTTACGAATTCGTCCAAATTTGTGAAAAGCATCGTCTATCTACAATTAAAAATTGTTAAAAAATTGAGACATTTTTAACCTCTTCAGAAGTTGCGTCTTCAGGTAATCCACCAACATAAACCTTTCCTTCAACAAAACCTCCGCGACTACGACGGTTGGACATTTTGTTTTTAATTAAATAATTGAAAGTCTCCTGAAATATTTATTGAAAAATTTAAAAAATCTCAAATCCTCCCTAAAATTAATAACACATGACAAAAATCGTTAATCAATAAAGCAAACGAAAAGGAAGACAAAAGAAAAAAGAGAGGGTAGGGGACGATTCAGTATTGGCCGATTCAGTATTTGGGCTTTTTGGCCATAACTTTTTGCTCGATCAATATTTAGGAATTATTATATATGATTTGATGGGCCTCGGGGTGCTGCATCTTTTTCATAATTGGACTACCTGATCTGATCACTCTACAAATAGTTATCACTGATAAACGACGTCACAGGCATAAAAAATCGGTTTTCACGCTGTAACTTTTTTTGAGATCATCAGATCTGATCGGGCCAATTATGAAAAAGATGTCGAATCTCGAGACTTTTCGAATGATATGAGAATTATTCGAATCGGTCGAATATCAGGAAAGTTATGGCCATATACTGAATTGGTGGATACTGAATCGTCCTTAATCGCTTATTTTGAGCAGCGTTTGGCGTTGTGTTAATTTTGAAATAAAATGAGATAATGTGTTGTTAGAGAAATAAAGAAAGAAAATAGATTTTTTAAATTTTTTACAAATTTTTTTTTGTTTTTTACTTGATTTTACTTTCCTTGTTGATTAATGTTTCGAGCTCTTGCCACACTTATGTGCGCGATTTTCGGCCTCGCTAAAATAAGCCGAATCTTTGGTTTATCCAAAATTTAAAAAGACTTGGCCCGTCGCGAAAATAAATTCACTTATACCTTCCATTTATTGTTCTTAATCATTTTATAATTTCTCGCTAATGTTTGTTTTGCAAAATTTTTTGACAGATAACCAATCTTCCTTTTATTTACTTGGGAAAAGTATCGAGCAATTTATTTATTTTTCTTCAGACCTTACCGAATTTTGCTTAATTTTACATAATGCCCCGTACATACCAAGATGAATTACAATTTATTGAAAGAATCTCGCCAGTTGAATTTCGGATTAAAAAGGGTTTTGTGCCCAATATGAATGTTTGTGTTTTTATTTTGTTCCCTTAGGGGTTGGGTGATGCAAAAAAGGTCGAAAAACATTTTCTTTTTTATTGTCAAATTATATATTCGAAAGAGCTCTTCAAGCTGAGTTCAATGACACCTAAATTTAAGTTCGGGCCCCTTTAAGTCGAGTTAAGGACTCTAATGGTCAACAATGGTAGTGAGACCATACAACTGGTCATAACTTTGTCAAAACTTGTTCAATCACGTTAATTTTGGTAGCATTCGACTCGTCTCGGAGATTTCTTTCGAATCAGCTATCATTTGTTTATTCGAATTTTTAGCTCCAAAAATCAGGATGGTCCCCTTAACACAACTTTTTGACCATTTCGAGCCCTATATCTTGACCCAATGTTGTTTCCTTTGACTATTTTGGTGTCAATCGACTCGGTTTGAAAATATTTTTTGAGTGATATATGATTTGGACAATAAATTTTTAAAAAAGTTTTTTTGACCGTTTTGCAACCATAACAGTCTTAATTATTTTTCAAGTCCAAGAAAAAATTTTCTAAATTAAGGTAGAAGGCCGTTTCTTTGTTAATTCTGCATTGGAAAAGTTAATGTTTGAAGAACTGGAGCTGAGTTCCAGAACTTCAGCTGCTGGCTTTCTACCTGCTGTTAAACAAATTGGAAATGTTGCCTCTCTTCCAGCAATTGTGAAAAGTTCTATTGGCCTCCCGGATGTTCACTCAGTTTCTTTTTTAGTTTAAATTTCTTTTAAATTATTTTTTTAAATTTGAGGGATATGGCTTTGCTATTGGAAATATTGCGGCATTTGATGTTTCGAATCCAAATGCTGTTGTCTCTCCGGGTATTTTTTAAAGTTTGTTTGGGTCAAAAACGGTTAGGTCAGCTAATTGGTCCTAAAAGTTGTTTTTATTCTTTCTGGGGTATGATCCTATAATACCGAAACGAACTACCAAACGCCGGAATACCAAACATGGAAGACGTTGAAATGCTCGATAAGTAGAAATTCGTTACCAACCTTCACCAGATTTGGAATAATCTTCCTTGTTAACTGCCTCGTAGTTGAGACAACCCTCATGATTCTGGGGAAATTTTACCTCACAAATTTATGTTTGATTTTTGGATTCTGATTTGGTATCATTGGCGTTTTTTCATAGTTTGTTATTTCAGCGGCTTTTGTGTATTTGGTATGGTGGCCATCATCCTCTCCTTTTTTGCCAAAAGTTGTCGAAATACTAGACCATGGAGATTGCCAGCCTTGACGGGTTTCGGGTAGAAATAAGCCTTGTTACGGCTACATAAAATTACCTTTCCCGATTGAAATTATAAGACTAAAATTTTGCGGACTTTTTTAAAAAATTTTCTATGGGGCTAAAAACTTTTTGAGTTTCGGACAAAACTTGAGAACTTTTAAAAAAATTTTCTAATTATTTAGAAATTTTTTATTTGCGAACAAAAGTTGTTGCCTTATAAAAAATTCTTTCTAATTTAGGAGGTGTTGGTTTTGACATAAATTGTGGCGTTCGTCTTATCAGGACAAATTTATTTGAGAAAGATGTTCAACCTTATAAGGAGCAATTAACACAGACAATGTTTGACTATATTCCCGTTGGGATTGGTATTAATTTTTAAATTATTTTTTAAATTAAATTGTTATTTAGGTTCGAAAGGAATTATTCCAATAAATGTTCGCGATTTCGAAGAATGCCTGGAAATGGTTTGAATAATTTTAAATTAGTTTTAACGTGAGTGATTTTGTGGGGATCTTTTTTCATAATTCCAGGCTTAAGCGATAAACGTATGTAATTAATTACGTAGATCCTTGCTGTATATGTGGAACAAAAAATCCCGATGTAATGCGACTTTTTCAACCTCCGGTTTAAATATTTTTTGGGCAACGTGGCTTTTTTAATGATTTGTGTCTTATAATCCTAACAATAAGTTAAAAGTTTCGCAGCAGTTCAACTGTTTCCCTGTCCTTAACTTAAGAATGGTCGAATAATTTTTAATGTTCTTGGTACCAATGAATGGAGAATTAAATACACTACGAGTCTAGGGATATCTTCGTTATTACAGATATTATGATTTAAAGACTAATTTTTCAAAAGTTTGATTTTTCGGACATAACTTTTTTTATCGATCATTCAAGAATTTTAATTTTTGGTATTTTGTAATGTATTTAATTCTCTATCCACTGGAACTAAAGCATTATGAAGTGGCCATCCCTTGATAGGTTATAGGTGCTTGGAGTGTCACTCACGCCATTTGAGTTGTATCCTCATAATGATTTTTGGCCGCGTTTTGTCTGGTTCTAACACGGAGAGGTTGCGAGGTGTCCGACCTAAAAACTTCGAGACCGGGCTCATTCGATAGAGAATGTGCCCTTTCTTGCGAAGATTTTAAGCCGTCTTTGCTAGAAAGGGCACATTCTCTATCGAATGAGCCTTGTCTCGACCGTTTTTAGTTCGGACAACTCGCAATTTCTCTGTTAAGCTTATATTTTGTTTAAAACCTCTTTATAAATTTTTCGTTTATAACTTACATTTTAAGGGTATGGATTGGACATTACGTGAAGGCTATTCCTGGGCTGAAGATAAAGAACATTGTGAAGAATATGGTTATTTTTTGTCTTTTTCCTTAATTTTAAAATATTTTTACAGGTCGAATGTTACAAGCAGATGCCTCTAAAGTTTCCACTAGAGCTAAAAAGCGTGGTTTGCCTCAGGTTTTTATTTTAAGTTTAAATAGCTTAATTTTCCTCATACATTTAACGTTAATATTCATCGATTTGTCATTTCCAGCCTTTTGTTAATAGATTGTCGAGCAATTTCGAATAACGAGCAATTTCGAATAGCTATTAGGATTAACTATTTCAGATTTTGTTTTTGTAACGAAAATAACGAGATTATATTAGGTTTTATTATTAAAATTTCTAGGGAGAGTTTTTTTTTGCCCCGAATCGCGATCTTTTTAATTGCCTAGTTTTCCTTTTTGCTTCCTTCAATGGAGCTTTAACCTCATTCCCATTATCCCTCTAGACTTACGCCTTGTTATCTAGGTTTTTAAACGATAGTCAATGTTAACCGATTAACTAAACTGTATCCTGTTTTCTAATTTTAGTTAGGTACTTTGGGTGCTGGAAACCATTATGGAGAGGTTCAAGTCGTAGATGAAATTTATGACAAATATGCAGCACAAAAAATGGGAATTGAATCAAAAGGGCAGATTTGCATGTTTATTTTAATTTTTATTTAGTTTTCATTGATTTTCTATTTTAGAATGTTACATACGGGAAGTAGAGGACTTGGCCATCAGGTGGCTACTGATGCTCTTGTGGCTATGGAAAAGGTTTTTGAATTATTTTTTTGTTTTTATTATTGGGTTCCCATGAAGGTCGTTTGACTTAAATTGTTGAGTTTTTTGTAGATGTTAAAACTTAAATTTCAGATAAGTAGCTAGGGGTCAATTTCATGGGGCTAAAATCGGAGGTGTGATAAATTCTTTAGTGTGTTTTCTAATGGATAACAAATAGTTAAAAGATCTGAATACTAGACCAAAAAAAATAAAAAACACTAAAAATTTATATCTAAAGTTTCTGAAAACTTTTGTGCATCTACAAAAAATTCTACAATAACTATTTTTGCCTTACGAATTTATGAAGCCACTTTTTAACTTGTTTATGAAAAAGATATTTAATGATGATTTTTATTTTTATTTAATTGTATATTTTGTCTGTCGTCCTTTACTTGCCTTGTTCAATTTAGTATGATTTTTTTGATCAGGATTGTGTATGTGATGTTTTTTGCTCCGGCTCCGACCCTTTTCAAATTTAGGCTCCGGGATTTTTTAAGTCTTAATGTTCTGGATTCACTATGGAACTAGCTCCTGTAACACACCCATCCCTCGATTTGACTTTTTCTTCTCAAAAGTTCGAAAAATTATTTGTAGCCACTCTTTGTTTCGCCTATATTTTTTTAATACTTTGAATTTTCTTTTCTCCATTTATATTTTTTTATAATTTTTCAACAAATTTTTATTATTTAAAGGCTATGGCTAGAGACAATATTGATGTCAATGATCGACAACTTGCCTGTGCAAGGATTAATAGTCAAGAAGGACAGGATTATTTGAAGGGAATGGCTGCTTCAGCTAATTTTGCTTTTGTTAATCGCTCTTGTATGACATTCTGCATTAGGTTAAAAAAATTTTTTCTTTTGAATAACTGTTTCCTTTCTAATTATAAAAATATTTTCGGTTAAATTCCCCTTTTAGAATAAAATTTTTTTTAATTGTAACTTATCATCCGGCTCTGTGTCTGGTTGACGTTGGGCCTCAGAATTAGTTGACCACCTTTATGGGAGCCACAACATCTTTTTAAAAAAAAAGCAGACTGCCAACCAAAAAGCAGACACTGCCAACCATTTTTTTTGTTGGGAGTACACCAAAACTAAACAAACATGGACGATTTCCTTTTGTAAACAACAATTCTGTTAATGTTCAATAAATGCCTTACTGTTTCCTCGATCTAAAAAAGTCGTATGGAAAGAATATGGCTGGGAAGTCCCATCCCAAAGTGTATTCCTTGCTCTTGTTATGGCTGGGTCTTCCATTTCATTCTCCTTCGATCACTTTATGATAACGATTTTTAAAGCTTTTAATGTTTTTTTCTTATTTAGACAGGTAATCTTCATTGACTTCTCTTTGTGGTTATTTAATCAACTTTTTTAAAAGGCTTTTGCTAAAGTATTTAACTCATCTCCAGATGATCTGGATATGCATGTAATTTATGACGTCAGGTTTCCTTTTAAATTTTATTAATTATTATTATTATTTTCCCCATTTTAAAGCCACAACATTGCAAAAATTGAAGAACATTTGATTGATGGAAGGCCAAAACAGCTCTGTGTGCATCGGAAAGGATCTACAAGAGCTTTTCCTCCACATCATCCGCTGGTATTTTTTAAACTTAATTTCGTTGATCTTATAATTTGATTGGAGGGATCCCCAACAAAGGGATGGTTCGAATCTGTATCAGTTCACAGCTCGGCTGAGTCCGGCCATATAATTAAAGAAGAGTTAAATAATTTTCAGTGTTCTTGGTACCATTGTAAAGAATTGAATGCACTACAATATACCGAAAAATCAAAATTCTTGATTGTTTATAAAAAATCAACTAATGTAAGGACTAATTCAATATAATGATTTTTCGAACCTTATCAGGATAAACTTTTCTATCGAACAGTCGAGGTTTTGATTTATTGACATCTTGTAGTGTATTTATAATTCTTAAACCATTGGTACCCAGCATATTAAGAGGTACCAATTCCTTCATATATTATAGTAACCGGGACTTATTGCGTCTGGCTCACAATCAGTTGAGGTTCACTCGTTCGAATCTTATTTGGAATCCGATTATCTCTCCGCATTTTTTTCAACTTTCTTTTTAGTTTTTCCCCTAGAAACAGGACGTAAACGATATTTCTGTGGCCAGCATTTCTTTCCCGCAATTTTAGATCGTGGAACAATAAAGCATTTTTCGAAGATTAACCGAATTTATGTTTATAAAAGAAGCTAAAGGTGATATTCTTGAATTTAAGCTTAAGAAAATAGGTAGACCACAGAAATGTCTAAAAGAGAAAAAAAAGTATGAAAAATAAATGCGGGAGTGTTAAATAGGATATTGCCGATCTTCTACTAATATATTTTAATAATTTTATTTTTAGATCCCAGTCGATTATCAACTTACTGGCCAGCCGGTATGTATTTTTAATTTTTATTTTCATTCTAGGGGTTACTGGTATTGCTCCCTTCCATTTACGTATAGTTTATTCGTTTCGGTATTGAATAACCGAGGATTTTTCGGTTGGGTCATACGACTGGGTTTTCGGTTTTGCAAGAGTTTCAATGAACCGACGACCCTATTTATAAAGTTAGATTCTGCTCAAGACCTAATTTGGAGATGATTTAGGTTTGACCACTTTTCTCTTTTACTCTGCGTCCTAATTACATTTTAGTCTAAATTTAATTTGGGCGACAAATGTAATTTGGACGGAGACATAAATTCTCTTTGAACGGGGATTCAATTGACTAACTTTATTATAACCTTTGTGACAATAAATAATCAGAAATAAATATTCATTTTTAGGTTTTAATTGGAGGAACAATGGGAACTTGCAGCTATGTTTTGACTGGGACTGAATTTGGATTTGGAGAAACTTTTGGGACAACATGTCACGGAGCGGTTCATTTTAATTTAAAATTTTTTTATAAATATTAAAAAAATTTAAGGGTCGAGCAATGTCTAGAGCAAAATCAAGACGGAATTTGGGGTTCGAAGAAGTCCTAGAAGCTCTTAAACAGCAAGGAATCTCTATTAGAGTGGCTTCACCAAAATTAGTTATGGAAGAGGTTAATAAAAAAATTTATTTTTTTAAAAATAGCGGAGGCGAGGAGGGACTTGATATTATTTTTGGGTAAGGGAGCTGGAGCTTCTGACGTGAAAGGTTGACGTAACCGAAAATAATTTTTGCATTTTTCGATAATGTGCCACTTAAATTGGGGTTGCCCCATGACTTTTTTCAAGATTCAATATTAAAACTTACAAATATTGGTATGGTAAATGTCGTTTCCTTCTCTACCCAATTTTTTGCAATCTTAACTGTAATATTAATTAATTGTCAGACTTTTTTTCTTTCATAAATTTTTATTTACTATTTTAAATTATTTATTTTCCCTTTAATTTTCCTTTATTATTCAATCAGTCAACTAATCCTCCTATTTGTAACCAATGTTGCGCAGTTCCAGATTTGCTCGCAAATTTTTTTCAGACTCCTAAAATTTTCAGACCCCTAATTTTGACGTCGTACTACTCTTATTTTTGTTACTGCTACCCCTATAATTTTGGAAGGCTAAAAACTCATATTTCCTCAGTTAAAAACTAAAAATTTTAAAAATACAATTAAATTTACAAAGTGATTATTTTGCGGAAAGAAATATACAAGAGTATTTTTTCACAATAGGAACAGAACCCAGCCGTAAATCAATAACACTTACGTTTAGCCAACCGCCCTAACCATTCGGCTACCAGTCCACTTAAGGGTATACAAAAGAATTATACATATTTTATTCAATTTTGCCTGACTGAATAATAAGGGAATTTTGAATAATAAGGGAAAGTGAATAAAAATAAAGTGTATTTATCGAAACTAAAGTAAATTTATGGAAAGAAAAAATTCTTACGATACGTATATATTAAAAAAATTGGATGGAGAAGGGGAACGACATAAGTACCGGATATTAAACTACCTTATCTCCAACTCCTAATAATTTTGAAAATAATTTTTAGGCTCCACAATCTTATAAAAATGTAACGGATGTAGTCAATACATGCCATCAGGCAGGAATATCCAAGAAAGCCGTAAAACTTAGACCGATTGCTGTGATTAAGGGATAAAATTAATTTTAATTTGTTTATTTTATTTGTTTAAATAATTTATTTTTGTTTTTATTTTAAAATTTTAAGTCTGATAAATTTTGAGATGGTGATTTTTCATTTTAAATTTGTAAATTTTTCAATTATTTTATCTCGTGGAATGATATTTTTATTTTTAAATGTATTCGCGTAAAAGGTAATACTTAGGTTTTTCTGTTTTAGATAGGCTTTAGCTGTGTGGGTAGTATTTTGGGCCATAATTTTTTGATTATCTAGCAGGGCTAATTTGGTCAAATAATCCTAGGGAAAGTTTTAGAACAAGGGCAGGCATAGGGACCCAACCTGGGGCGTTCTGTAATCTTTGTGGTTCTTTTTTAAACTGTTAAGCTTTGGCTATATGTTGGGGGCATATCCTTTTGCTTATAATTTTTACAAACCGTAGAAAATTGTTTATAGTAATCGAAATTCAACTAAATAAGCCAAAAGTTGATTTGCCCCATGGCCCCCTTATTTAAAAGAAGTTTGAAATTTCAAAGCAAACACTGATACCAAAAACACATTTACCCCAAAGTATTACCAAAAAATCTTTCTTTTTTATTATATTGTTTTCCGATTAAGTACTCCCTCCATTAAACAACAATAACAACCCATCACTACTACCAGTTCAAATTTTAAAACTTGAATAATTACCCACTCTCTATTAATTACCCCCTCCAGCGACAGATTGAAACAGGACACCAAGGGTAGTTATTCAAGAAAATACAGTAATCTATGTAATATCATTTAATTAATTTTTAGTACATTAATTAAAATGGTCTATGAAGTTGCTAGAACCCTCACCAATATAAATATATATAACAATTGGGCCAGGATGAACTTACACAACTGGCGACGACTTTTTCGACGACGGTTAAGAGACGGTCCTGCCGTCTACTATAGTTGTAGAGTTAGTATTTTTTTAATCTTAAGTAGTTTTAAATTGATTTTGAAATTTTTCTTCATTTTTTCGATTTTTTTGCTAAAAAATTAATAAATTTTTAAATGATACCCCACACATTTACAGATTCATGTTATTATGGTGGCGGGGAGATGGAGAAACTGTTTATGTAGACTTAGAGTTCAGTTCTTGGACACGGGGGAAGTAACACTGGCTTACCAAAATAGGCACAATGAAACAGAAGTTCTTTTCCCTAAAATTTAATTTTGAAAAAAAATTTAGAAAAAAAACCCTGACAAGGAACGAGATGATCGCGAAGATGATCACGAACGAGAAGTTAAACTTACTTTTCAATTAATTAACCAATTAAAACAATTTAGCAAAAAACTCCTCCACATGTTTGGGATTGCCCTATTTTTCCGGAGGGGCCTGGAGCAAAAATTAGTGATCCGACATTACGTGGACCAACTCCTGGTGGCACTCTTGTTAGTTTTTAAACTTTACATTAAAATTATAATCTGATCGTGTTAAATATTTAAAAATTTCCCCCTTTTTTGGTTGATTGTTCCGTAGGGCAGAATTGATTAAAAAAGCATCCCCTTGTAAATAAAGATGCTTTATTTTGTATATAATAATTAAATTATTTTAAATTAAGGAAGTAAAACAATGGGGTTCTCGTTCAATTGCTGATTTAACTAAATTTCTTGATGTTTTTGCTTTTCGAAAACAGCAAAATAATCAAAAACAACAACAAACACTTGGATTTAATTTTTATGGAATGAGTCAAGTACAGTACAGCATTTATGCACATTCTAATTTTCTTGACGTTTTTTGGAGCTTAACAACAGCTATTGAAGTTAGATTATATGATGATAAATTAGCTACTTTCAGGGAATTTTTGGATAAAACACAGGTAATTTTAATTATATTTTAATTAGATTGTTGGTAGATTATAATATAGTAGTAAAAGATTGAAAAGTTTATACTAAATTGAATCTAATATGTGGAAATAGTACGGGTAAAATGGGGGTGATTTTGATAATGGAAACTTTCCTATTATCATTAGAGTTCGGTTATAATTAGGTTATTAATTATAGGCTAAATAATAATAGTGTTATACCCATACACAAACTTTAAATAGACTATAATATTTATGAACTATAACTATAATATAAACTAAACTATAACTATAATTCTATCATCAATAACAAATTGGAATGATGTTCAAATAATTTGTATTCTTATTTTTAGTATACCGAAGACAATGTTGCTAGTTATGAATGGATATTTGGGACAGATTTTACCAGCCCAGGTTTTGCTTTTTAAAATTAGTAATTACTTTTAAAATCACAATAATCAGGTGGAGTAAATGAAAACAGAAGAGTACTTAAATATTTCCGTCATTTACGCCCAGGCCAACAAATGCTTGATATTGGTGTTGGAATTGGTGGTGGAGCTAGACAAGCTGCTAGGGTTTTTATTTTTTTTTAAATAAAAATGTTTAAACTGAAATACTAATAACAAAAAAGTTATTAAAATTAGAGGAGCTTTATCTAATTAAGAGAGATGTTGAGTGATTGAATCCCTATAAGCGAGTGATTGAATGGCCTTAATAAGGCTCTA